TCTCATTCCTTATCACTGTCTAATAACTCACACGAAATCTGGAATCGGTAAGTTGAATAGTTTACAAGTTATGGTCTTATAAACAAATTAATTAATTATTAGTCTGGACGATCCCGAGCATTTTCCACAATCGCACTGATTTTTTTCATGGTAGATTTCATAATAATACATTGAAATCTATCATTTTTTTAAAAATTTTTTGCAACCTGGAATTTTTGTTTATTTTTTAGCCTTAGTTGCAAAATGAAATATACGACGCACTAGCGTGATATAGTTATATATTATTACATATTCGGAAAGTTTATGAAAAGAGCTTTAAGTTAAAAAAAAAATCGTCAAGATTCGTTGAAAAACAACGGAGTTACAGACTATTAAAGTTGACGGCTTATTGTTAAACAAATTAGATTGGTAGCGGCAAAAAAAAATACTGTCATAACCGGCAACCCGAGTATTTCCCCAGATAAAAGGGCGGCAAAAGGGTGGGGGAAGCGAACGACAGCGAGTCCGAAGAAAATGACGATATAAATATTCATAGTCCTGCCGTTAAATAAGCGAAATTTGCTTGAATATAAACTGTTATATTTATTTTACTTTCATAGTAAAAATTTGCAATTCATTCATTAACAGTGAAGTATAAAATTTTTCTCCTTTTAACAAAGTTAAAAGCATTTCAACGAAAAAAACAGAAGTATGTTTCGGAAGTATCTAATCGATCAAATGGCTTGTAAACATTTATGAAGGGTCTGTATAATATTGAAACAGACAGTGTTCTACGTTAGTATCAATACTGTACATTTTAATTTTTATGTTGTTTCTGTTATGTAATAAATTACTTTTGAAATAACGTAATTATTTCAAGATCGAATGTCAAATGCATTAGTAATGATCTACTAAAATAAATTAATTAACACAAAACTATTATAAATATAAAAAGTGTTGAAGAGGGAAAAATTATTAGCGAACCTTTTACCTTTAAGACAAAGAGAAAATAGCAATTATAGCATTGCCCCCAACAAAATTATAAGCGCATTAGTTTAAGGATACCCCCTGTATTCTTCACAGTTCAATCTGCTTGTACACAGAATATTAAGACACCCTGTACAACTCACATCACAAGCGATCATTTTGGTAGAGACGGCGTTATATGGCAAGTATCATAATGATACAATTTTAATATGTGTAACATAAATAATTAATTAATTCTGGAACCGTACTTTCAGGTTTGTTTTCATTCATTTTTATTATTTTGATTGTGAATATACAAATACACTGCCACTCCCCCTCACCCCTCCGAGCTGGCAGGTAATTCCACCTGTCTACACTACACCTTTTCTTTCATGAAGGTCAAATATGAGAAATTAAGAACGGGCAACGACTTCAACATTTCACAATATTAGGTCACAGCTTAATAATATATTAGGTGGCAAGCGCCAGATGCGGTTCTTTCTCTCATACCTTTATTTTTACACACATTTACTTATCTGGAACGGTATTTCCGAGAACTGATGACTCAAATTCGAAAGGCCTTTATCTGTAAGTAAGTATTAGCAGATTTAATGACTTAGATAACAGATTCAGCGACATAACAAAGAGATAGGGATCACTGTGTCAAAACTAAAACAACTTGTTTATGGCTTTTACAGCAACGAAAATACAAAAAAATATTTCACAACATGTCTTGTCTGTTTGTATTTTAGTTAAAACTTCTAAGTTCTGATCCGAAAAAAGCTAGTTTATAGTAGTTAGTAGTAGTATAGTAGTAAATAAAAATATGCATGTCAAATTATTTTGCTTTTCGCATATTTCACAATATTAACTCATTTTGTTTTTATTTACCTCTACTTTCTGATTTAAAAAGAGGTAAACAGAAATAACATATGTACTTCAAATCGTTTTCCAGTAATTATTGGTTTAAATATACAAGGTGTTTCAGAAACACCTCCAGTAAATACAGGGGGTGGTAATACGACAAAAAAGATTATTTTAGTGACTAATTAGTCATTACTAACTACAGTCCTTAACAATCACTAAAATTTTGATATAAGGTTAATTAGAGTTTAAAATATTACTAAGAATGTATGCGTTGTTTATGAGACATCCATCAATATGTTTTGACATAAGCCCACTTTGAGAAAAGTGACTTATTTTATACACCGCAATATAGTAAGAGTTTAATTAAAAGTCTTTTTTCTCGGAAACCGTCCACATTAGGAAGTTCTAACAAGAGTGCATTATATTTAGAAAATAAAATTGTACTTTAGAAATTGGAGCCCGAATGGTAAATATCTTAACCTTAAAAAAGTTAGAACTTAAAATGTAATAGGAATGCAGCATAACTAGCGTCATCTATAAAATATATAAAAAATAATTAGACTAACGTATTTGGCATCCTTAAAAACCCCGGAATGCCAAATTTCATAAAAATATTTCGCACTGTTTGGAAATTTTCGTAAAAATTCTATTTAAAAAAAATTATTTTGTCGCTCTGTATATCGAAAACAGGAGGAGATATACATATAGTTCGTTAACACAAAAAAATCTGATTTTTTATCATACTATTACCCCCTGTATTTACAGGAGGTCTTTCTGAAACACCCTGTACAATAAGCTTACTGCAGTGATGAAGAGATTTAAATATGTCACGGTGTTCGATTTTCGAGGAAAGTTAGATGGCGAAAACCGCATGTTTTTTATAAGTTCGGTTTTCTTTTTACAAAATATCAGTTTCCACAATTTTATTGGGAATTCTATGAAACTAAATAAAATTCTACCAACATTGTAAAATAATCTTCGGAAAATTATAATATCGTATCTGCAACGTCAAAGAAATAAATACGAGCTTTTCTCACTAAAGACAGTATTCACGACCTCAGAAATATTTGTTATAAATGACAGAATCTACCTCAAGACGTTACTTGTTCCTATACACTTGTAGCTGCATGTGTTTTGCTATTTTTTCTTTTTACTAGCTCTTCCTTAACTGGAAATCACTTAGAAATCTATTTTCTTAAATATACATCAATTTCCTGACCATATAATTATTATTGAATTTATTTACTGGTACATTGGTCAATAAAATAACTTAGTTTATAATATTTTTCCAGTTTGTTTTATTTTGCGACCGTTTTGGATTTTCCCCGTCTTCACAAAAAACAACATCGGAGATTTATTTCCAAATGTTAGTAAAGTATTGTTTAAATTCGTTGATAAATTCAAATTTCTCGTCCCAAAAAACCCCCGTATACGAAATTTCACGAAATTAGCTCGAAGTAATCGAAACAT